ACACACACACACACAAACACACACACACACATACACAACAAAACAACAACTGATGAAAAGGACTTACCTCTCTGGTGATTTCCTCTCTCCAAGTATATCTCCGATATCCAGACCTTGGTTTCACTACCATGCATCAGGCAGAGGAACAGCGGTCAGTCCAAGGTACTAGGATGATGCTCTTGAAGAACGAAGATTTTCCAATCACATGACTTAAGAGAAAATGGCGTCAGTAATGCGCTGAGAAGAAACCCTCGAACGTTTGATTGGTTTTGTTACAAATCCCATGCAAAGACCCACAAAGACGATGCTGTCATATTTGGACTTGCATCAAGAGCGTATTTTCTGTCTTGATGCCAATAGCAATAGAAATGAGTCGTCAATCCGAAAGTGCTCTTGACCGTACTATGGCGTATGGTAACATGAATATCCCATAAATAAAAGTCTCTGAGCAGTGTTGAAAACGCTTCAAACACCGGGAAACATTAATCCTCACAAGGACTTGAAACCAATCTAGACAAAAATTTCCAAGGTGCCCAAATGTAGGTACGAAGCCAGTGTGCTTTGCTTCATCATTGTAGAGCGAAGCCCTCATTTCCATTGGGAGAGCATTTATTCCTGTCAGCGGGTTCAAGTGTAAAGCGCCACCAGAAACAGAGGGTTAAAATAATTATTGATTGGTGTTGTCATACTATCGCTGACATCCCAAGGGTGAAATAGTGAGAAGCAAATGGTGCTCCGGATATCTCTGAGATCTATCGCACAGAGCTGCGGTCTCTTTGTTTTCTGGATTCTCTGCATATCAAGGAACAATCTTACGACAAAAGAGGTCAAGGGTAAAAATGAGGTCAGGGCTTCTCTGGTATTGAATGGAAGTACCCTGTCCCCGAGGAGTAGAACACGCTGATGAAGAAAGCAGATATTGACTGACAGCTCTCTTTAGCGGAGTGGGTGGTGAATGCCGTTGGGGGACGTTGAAGGCATCAAGTGGTGTGCACTCCAACAAAAATCTCCACGTTGAATGTGAAGCTAGAATTTGTATATGCGACTGTTTCGGTGAAGGGAGCGCTGTTTCGTTGCTTGAGAAAGCGAAGTAGATATCCACAGCAGCAGCCTTGAAGATGTCTTGGTGGAACAGAACTCCGGGCTGCGCGGACTCCAGAGACCATCGGAGTAGGAGATGAAGCTTGAAAAGAAAATACCTTTCTCTCTCTCTTTCTCTCTCTCTCTCTCTCTCTCTCTCTCTCTTACTCTCTCTCTCTCTCTCTCTCTATCTCTCTCTCTGTCTCCCTCTTTCTCTCTCTCTGCTCACTCTCACTCACTGTCTCTCTCTCGTTCTCATTCTATCTCTCACTCTCTCGCATTCTCTCTCTCACTCACTCTCGTTCACTCTCTCTCTATTCTTCTCTCTTTCTCTCTCTCTCATTTACTCACCCACTCCCGCTCACTTTCTTTATTTCGCTCCCTCTCCCTCTCCTTCTCTCTTTTTCTCCCCCTCTCCCACCTCTCTCTCTCCCTCTAACTCACTCTCCCTTTATTTATCTCTCTTTCTCCTGGTCTCTTCCCCCAATGAACATTTTCCTCCTTTCTGATCCCTCAACCTATCAACAAACCCTACCTATACCCAAGTAAGTTATTGCAGCTTTCATCTAACGTTCTGTTCAGTCTATCTCCGTCTCCAGCAACTATTTCTGTCACATTCCGATTAACAAACATGAGCCCCACAAACCCTGTTTCACTTTACCCTTTCTGCGCTATTATTCTATGCCCGTCATCAGTCTGAGAGATTCCAGATATATAGTACGTATTACTTCCATTCATCGCATCCCCAGGTTCTCTACAATGCTCCTCTGGCCCGCTGGTATATCCAAAGGAAGCCCAATGCAACTGACGCCAAAGCACAGGAATAATTGTTTACACAAAGAACATTTAGAGATCTAATACATTGAGACACTTTTTTATTTATCTATCTATCTATCTATCTATCTATCTATCTATCTATCTATCTATCTATCTATCTATCTATCTATCTATCTATCTATCTAATAGTCTATCTATCTATGCACTTTTCTGCAGACCCTCTTGCCTTTCACATCAATCGAACCTCTGCCCAACTCTGCACCACCAAGCAGATGTCCCCCTCCACGTCCTCCCCCTCTCTCTTGGCAAATATTCTCCCTGCGGTTTTCATCGATACGATGTCTAGGTGAGCCCCGTGCCTCTTATCAGCCAGTGGTCTGTTTAATTTCTCTTTGTAGTTTATTGACTGCTCTGTTGGGCAGATTCCATTATCGACCTGGCCCCCTATCTTTGCTGTCTCGTCATTGCCCCTAAAACCTCCCAACCCCCACACCGTTCAGCCTCCACACCTCCCATCCCAAAACCTCTCAGCTCCAATAATACATCTCAACCCAAACACTTCGAAGCCCCCTCCAAATAAAAAAAACACACCCAGCCTCTCAGCCTTTATCTCACTTGTTTTTACCTTTCACCCTATAGCCTAGCAATGTTGTTTTATTACCTCGACATTGAACTAAGAAACTCACAAGAGCAGACATACTCCCCCCCTCTCTCTCTCTCTTTCTCTCTCTCTCTCTCTCTCTCTCTCTCTCTCTATCACTCCCTCTCTCTATCTCACTCTCTCTATTTATCTATCTCTCTATTTCTCTCACTTTTTCTCTCTCACACCAACACACATGTACATACACGCCTAAAGACACATATACACACATACAAAGGCTTACACACATAAAATGCACAACACCGAGAGACGGAGTGAGGGAGAAAGAACGAGAAAAAGAACGAGAGAAACATAAATTTAAATACACGTAGATCGTGGGAACTAGAAGATAGACTAACGTACACTCAAGCGCACAAATGCGCGTACACACACAAATACACAGGGAGAAAGATGATCGTTTGATGCATAAGAAACATGACACAGCAGTCTCTCTCTGAAGGCTTAGACATTGCTCTCCAGACACCAGCCGGTGTCCGTCATATAAACATTGAGCCATCCTGACGTTTAGACAAAACGGCGAGGAAGAGGGATCAAACACTTCGGTGATCGCTCACATGCAAGCTCGGATACACACTTACACACACATTCACACGCATACACACACATACATACATACATACATACATACACATACACACATACATACATACATACACACACACACATACACACACATACGTACACATACACGCACACACACACACATACAACCCTACACCCACACAACCACACACAAAGCTCACATAATCACACACGCACGAACACACATGCACACACTCACACTCTCGTCTACATACGTATGCGCACTCGTATATAAGCTCACACACACACATATTATTATTATTCTGTATGATTGGGAGGTTAATGATTATAAATCTGAAAAAGACAACAGATTAGTAGGCATATTAATACATCAATGAAGACGTGAAAAATAATAAATGAGAAGATAGATAAATGATTCTAAGGGGGGGGGGGTAATGCATGGAAAAGGGGGTGGGGGTGAGAGGCAGGAGGAGTGATTAGCAAAATGAAGGTAGATTTTATGGTGGATGTTGCTATTTTGTTGTAAAGGATATGGCCACGTGATGCAGCGAAGACACCAGAAACGAATGGGATTGCGCTGAGTGAGGATGTAGAAAGTTTTAGGAACAAATCCAGGGAATGGAAGATCCTCCTCTGCCTCACTATCGTTTTGCTGCTGTTGCTGTTGCTGTTGTTGTTGCTGCTCCTCGTGTTGTTGTTGTTGCTGCTGCTGTTGCTGTTGTTGCTGTTCTGAATGTTCGGGGTCGTCCCCCGTATCCTTCTCTTCCTGTTTCGATTTTTCTTTGTCACTCCCGCCGCCCCCACCACCGCCTGGTGGTGCTGGAGAATGTTTCTGAAGGTCATGTGGAGTGGCGCCGGAATCCCTCGCCGACAGGCGTAGAGGCGTGGTCTCGTCCACATTGCTGTCAAGCGTGTGGTGTGGATGGTGGCCGGGGGCGGGGCTTACGCCGCGATTGACATCCACCTCATCCTCCCCTCCCGGCACGGCGATGTAACTAGCTCCTCCCCTACTGCTCCTCCTACTGCTGACTCCACAGCCGTGCTCCGGGGTCACGGCCGGGTGAAGGTCATCCGTATTATCTGGGTCATCCAGCGGCTCTAGGATGATGGGTACCGGAATGTAACCGGCCCCGCTACTCTCCTCCGCCATAAGTGGCCGCGGCAGTGCTGAGAACTTCTCAGCTCAAACCGTGGCTGCTGCTTGCAACGGCTAGGGCTCCATGAGGATGAGGCCAGCACATGTAGACAATGAGGGAGTTGAGCAAACAACAACCACTACGACACTCTTTACAAACAGATCCAAAAGGTTTGAGCTTAGAACCGTTGAATACATTGTCTCAACTTCGTGTAGCACTGATCCAACAGGATGGTAGGGAATAGATATCCATAGTTTGTTTATAGAACACTTCCAACTGTTAGTGTAATGATCTTATTGGTGTTTTGATGACAATAACTGGATCAGAAAAACAACAATAAATAGATGGAGCGTATGGGCAACACTCTCTGAAGGAATACAACACTGCATCATGACCTAAGGTGTGTGTGTGTGTGGGGGGGGGGTATGAATTTGTCTTATAACAACTCACGTACACTTAGCTAACACTGTTTGCCCACTAAAACGTTTTTTCCGATTTTAGACACTTAACTTTTCAAATTGCCAAGAGCTACATGACTCTTAGACAAGACAACATGCCAGAGATAATGGATCTCAGAATGCTTCAAAACAAACGCACTTACGTGAGAGCCGTCAGACAAAGGCTGATGTTTCAAATACGAGCTGACGAAATTAAATCAACAAACACATTATTATGTCCATTACTTTGAGATAGACATACAGAGAGAACCAATGATCTGAATTATTTCAAAACTTCAAAGTGAGAGATTCCAAAGACAGTGTTTCGAATTTTTATTTCAAGAATTTTGATTAAAAAAGATTAATATGGGTTTCCCAAATTCTTGACAAATTTGGATAAAACGAAAAGCACTGCTTAGAACATTACAACCAATGTTATAAAATCAGTTCGGAAGAGGTGTCGGATGACTTTATTGTAACTGCTCTTCCTGTTGGTGTATTCTTTTCTAGGTTTGTGTTTCCTTGCCCAGTCTTTCGTTCACTATCAACGAAAGAAAAACGAAACAAAAACAGAATCCTTTCGTTAACACAACAAACAGTAGTAGCAATGGTAGCTACCACTACTTAAATTGGACAAGGACAATCACACTACAAACCTGTATTTTTTATAATATAAAGCAGCAGCAGTAGCTATCACATTATTTGCGGTTACAGTAAAAAGAAATCAATATTGTTTAGACAAGAGCGTGCCCGATTTTTTTTTTTATGAACTCGCAATTTTTGTTAAAAAATGAACCTATTCGCTTTATTGCGTAACGAACGATCGCGTCGGGTTTGATAATGAACGAATCAGAAAGGCAACGACAGAGGCTGTACCCGCGAAAGATGTAAGACGTTACCAACACAAGGTGCTGGGTTTGGTATTTCTATAATATTGTGCATTTTTGTAATTTCAAACTTGGCTTTTTTTTTTTTTTTTACTTTGCAGACCAATGTTAATAAGTTGATACACAAGTGGGGAGTGCACGCCCTTGAATAGGTCAGAGCGTCGTATCAAAGCCAGAGGTTCTCACGACATTCGTGAACTGACGTCAACGGAAAACTGTTATCTGAAACTTCCGGTTTCCAGAAGGAAAGATAATTTCATTTATCTCTGAGACGGAAATTAAACGTACCGCGTGTCCATAGAGAAAGTAAAAAGGTTTTATACTTCAGAGAAGAAATGACCAAAGGTAACTGATCAGTTAGAAAAAATCAAGTTTGCATGTTGGAAAAAGACCCAACACGTTTGACTTTGGATTAAGACTAAAATATTGTCTCGATCAGAGTAAAATATTTATAATAATGAATTCAAGATTCGGCTTCAAGTACCCAATATAGGAAATAGTGTAAATCTTTGAAAACAGTCCAAGTTACTAGTCAGTCCGAAGACGTTTTTTTATTCTCCCTGTTTTTTATTGAGACTTTCGCCAACTAAACGGTTTATTTTGCTAATAATCATTATCAAAACGACGTAGAAAATAATTCGAAAAAAGGATTTTCAGGTCTAACGAACAGCAAATCTTAGTAGATTCCACGTAATAAGAATAATGGAAAATACTTCTAAAGACTATTTTATTGATTAATGAAATACTTACAGATACAAACAGAGAGGGAAAACAAGCATTGTTTAGACCATAATTCAACCAGTTCAGTTCATACTGGCCTAATGTGGAGCTCTTTAGAAATCTACTTAATCATTAAATGAAAGTAATTTACTAATGGATGCCCAACTCCTTTCCCCCCTTTCATGAAAAAACTGCAATACACTTGATTTAATTTGTTTATTTGCTTACTCAGTTTCTCTCACCTGAGGCCAA